AAGAAAGAAAGAAAGAAAGAAAGAAAGAAAGAAAGAAAGAAAGAAAGGAAGGAAGGAAGGAAGGAAGGAAGGGGGAGGGAAAGAAATGAGGAAGAGAAAGAAAGAACGAAAGAACGAAAGAAAGAAAGAAAGAAAGAAAGAAATGAGGAAGAGAAAGAAAGAAAGAAAGACGGAAAGAAATGAGGAAGAGAAAGAAAGAAAGAAAGAAAGAGAGAGAGAGAGAAAGGAAGGAAAGAAATGAGGAAGAGAAAGAAAGAAAGGAAGGAAGGAAGGAAGGAAGGAAGGAAGGGGGAGGGAAAGAAATGAGGAAGAGAACGAAAGAAAGAAAGAAAGAAAGAAAGAAAGAAAGAAAGAAAGAAAGAAAGAAAGAAAGAAAGAAAGAAAGGCCAATTCAGGTCACCAAGGATTAGGCGGGTTCAGGAAGGACGTCCGCCCGACGGAACTGGGTCTAAATGATGGGCCGAGCCGCGGGCCCTCAGGGGGCGAGAAGGACGCCCTTCCTTCCCTCTTTACGGGGCTCCTAGAATCCCCCCTCCCCCAATCACAGGGGGAAGCCTGGACTCGAGGAGCATCCTTTTCCCAACATCCCGCGCGAAATTTCCCAGCAAGCTTAGCGAAAGGCGCTTTAAAAAAAAAAAAGAAAAGAAAAAGCTTTTGCTGTGAACCGCCCGCGGTCGGAATATTCGCGTAGGCCGCAGGCTCCGATTTACCTCACCGGCGCACGCGCGCCCCCCGTCGGCTGGCCCTACCCTCCCCGGTCTCCGAGGACACCGCTTCCCGCCGGCGTTCCCAATCCGATTTCCCCGGGTGGGATCTCCGTCCAGGCTCCCGCCTTTCCTTTCACCGCCCCACAAATCCGCGCTACGCGGCCTTCTCCCCTCCCTCGGCCTCCGCCTCCTACCTGCGTCATCGCGCAGCATCCGCCCCTCCCTTTCTCGCGCGGGGAAGGGGCGGAGCCGCCCTCTCGCTCTCCTCCCATTGGGCACGTCACTCGCGAGAGGCTTCCACGTCCCGCTTCCTTAGATGTGGGGGGGGGGGGAGGCGTTCGTTGCTTCAATCTCGCTCCTCCTCCCTCCCCCCTCCCGGCCGCGAGAGGAAAGCGTGCGAGAGACGCTCGCACCTCGGGCTCTCATTGGCTTTTCCAGCGGCGCGTGGGCGGTAGCTTTAGTGACGTCACAACCCCCCCCCCCTCTCTCTCTCTCCGCAAAAAGAAGAGGTGGAAAGCGGCTTCTTCGGGGGAATTTAATAAAAGCTGACTGGCTGAGAAATGGGGACTCGGTCCCGCCCCTAGCGCCTCCTTTCCTCCAATCGCCTTTTGAGGCAGGCACTCATCCGCGAATGGAAATAGAAGGCGGGTGAAGCCGTCTCCGGTTTGCTTTCCTATTAGTGCAAAAAAAAAAGGGGGGGGGGCGGTCATTCAGAAGAGAGGCCTGATTAGACAACCGTGGTGTCACTCCAACCCCGAGGGCAGCATAAGGGAAGGCGAAGGAAAGCAACATGGAGAAGGGGGAGGAGGGTGAGTGCGTGAGGGAAGGCGCCAAGTTTGGTGGGGGGATTGTTCAATGAGAGAACTTCAACAGTTGAAGTTCTGCCTCATCGGAGGGACTAGGCCCGGCCCAACGGAACCGGGCGGTGAGTGGAACGCGGGTCGTCGCCCCTCAGTCGGGAAGGGTGGTTTCCCGTTTCACACGACAAGCTGTGACTCGTCCTCACGTGAAGGCAAACATGCGGGTCAGGCCTCAGTTGGGGCCGGTTGGGTTTGAACACGGACTGTGGTCGCCAGGGCTTGGGATAAAGATATTACCTTCTGCTTTACCGTATACATAGTGATAATTATATATATAATATATATAATATAATTGACAATTATATATATACATATTGAT